GATCAGCTCTGTCTCTGGGCGCTGCTCCTCCCCGCCCTGACCAGCTCTGATCTCACCCTTGAGGTCACAATGGTTCCAGTTCTTTCCAGGAGCCAATACTGTTATGGAGATGGTGTGTGTGCATGTGCAAGCTTGTACCTGTACAAGGCATGTGGACTTGTGTCCCCAGGGAGGCCTTCCACCTCCTTTCTTTCTCTTTCTTTCAACAACGGGTCTCAGTTGTTTCCTGTGAGACCCGTGGATCTAGCTTGGGCGTTAGGTTGATGGACCCGGGTTCCTGTGCCAATGGCATTTCTTGGGGCTGAAGCTGTAACTGACTTTCAGGGCACTGGTCTGAGAATGGAGGTGCTGAACTCCTCTCCAGGTTTTGCTGTGAAGGCCCTAGGTACCCCCAGCTACAAGAACTGGGAGTGAGCACAGCCTGGGGTTCTGAGTGGGCAGCTGGTGCAGAAGGCTGCCTGGACTCAACCCAGCCCACCTTTTACCAATCCTGTAGCCTAGTGCCAGCCATTCAGCCTCTCTGTGGCTCCATCTTGCCATTTGTAAGGTGGGAGCACAGCTGCCCCAGCTCCCGGGCTGCTCGGAGGGTCTGTGAAAGGAGGGGCGCTCTGAACAGTGCCCCTGGGGCTGTGATTTCCAGCACTAGAATAGTGGGCAAACCAGATGTATAGCCCAAGGTCATCTCAGTGAAATGATGTCACTACTGGCTGGTAGCGCCAAGCATGTGGAGATAGAGCCTCAGCCCTCAGCCTTGGGGCACTGTGGACTCACATTCACCCCAAAGTACTGGAAGCTTGGCAGGAAGCTGGGGCACAGAAGAGGGTGGTACTGCTGCCAGGAAGGTCAGGCTGAGGGGTGGGGAGGTGTGCTAGTGGCTCAAGGCTGAGGAGCTCCACCTGCTTCTGCAGAGGTGGACCAGTGGACCAACCTGGGACCCTGAGGACGGGTGGAAAAGAAAAGCCAGATGACCCCCTTCTGTACCTGAGTCCCTGCTGGAGCTGAATCCAACCTAGACGGTGCAGAAGCCTGGAGCAGGGTCTTCCAGGGAGGTGCTGGGCAGGGCAGATGACATGGCTGAGGCACCAGCTTGGCTTCTTGTCCACTGGCTGCTCCACATGAGTGTTAACTCCAGCGCCTGTCTCTAAAAATCTTCTCACTTATGCACCATGACTGCCTCTGTCACAATTTCAGTAGAGATCAGACATGCACCCTTATGAAAGGGCCTCTGTCCTGCCCACCATGTGAGGGTACTGCAGAGGTCATTTTCTCCTGTTCTTGCGGTCTCCAGCCTGCAGATGGGGATCAATAAATATTTGTGGATTATCAGCTCCCAGGCCATGGTATTCTGTCACAGCATCCTGAGCTAAGGCATCCAGTGGCCTGGAATGCCTGACCTCACCATTGCCTTCCCATGCATCAGGAAGGGGGCTGCTAAAATTAAGCTGCTCACAAGGGAGACTCACTGAGCGGCCATATCTGGAAAGCTGTCAGGGTAGGTGTCTGGGGCTGGGTGGTCAGCTGGATGGCCTTGGTGGCCATATGGCTTGGTGTTGGACAGGGGTGCGTGTGGTGGCTTGTATGGCTGATTCCTAAATTTTCCGGATTTTAAGATTTGATTGTTTAGTATATCTACAGAAAACTCCAGCAGGTTATATTGACCAGACCAAGCCCAGCACTGCTTGGGTGTGTGAGCTTATTTCCCTGTTATCTCTGTGGAGGTCACTGCTACTGGCCCCACCTGTGTGGGTAGAATGTTTAATAATGGGGCTCCCACACATCTTGCCAACTCTGTGTTCCAGGGCATCTCACAGGGCCCTGAAAGCAGCTCCAGCGAGGCATTTATACCACAGGGTAGCACATGCTACCAGTCATTGGCAACTGGGTTGATAAACAGACTGACTGACCAATCAGGTCCCTTTTCTGGGAACTTGCAAACAGAGCCAGAAGTGAGACTTTGAGATGGGAATTGTGAACCCCGTGGGATGCCACAATCTTTATGTAGTAGAAGGAGGTACAGAGGGAGGAGTCTGAGGGGCTCTGTGGTTTAGCCTGGGGTCTTCCCATAATGTCTGTTTGGCCCTCATGACTCTCCAAATAACCTCTGCTGACTTGTACCTAGGTTAAGGTGGGGCAGACTTTCTGCAGGATCTGGTTCCTTGAGAAATCACATTGTGAGGTGAACTCTCTAGCAAACCGAGGACAGGCACCATGAAATTGGGCAGAATTGCCAACTAGCCTCTCCCTACATGTCTCTGGGAGGCTGGACACAGGCTAAGGCTTCAAACCTTCTGCCGCGGTGGAAGGAAGGGGTTCGACTTTGAAGCAGTCAAGCGAGGTTTGCTGGGACCTGGGGTCTGACCTGTCCATCTAGCCTGACTCCTCACTTCATCTGAAAATGGCAGTGTTAGGATCACAATGGTCCTGGCTGGGTTACGCTGCAGACTTTCTCCCTGTGAACCTTCCAGGGAACCACTGATCACCACCAACTTCTACTGGACACAGACTGCCCACCTTGTAACCGTAGAGTGAGGATGAGGTCCCTGGAATGTCTGGGACCCTCTCCTGGGATACTAGCCCATTTGCTGGGACAGGGGCATTTCCCTCCCCGCCCTACCTCAGTGTCTCCCTTGACTTTTAAACTTTCTGGCAGGGCCAGCAGGTGGTGCTGTGGCCCCAGACAGGAACCTGGCAGTTGGGAGGGCTGCCTCTGGAAGGATGCACGGTGGTGGTGGTGGGGTTGCTGAAACACAGCCAGAATCTGCTATTCAGCCCTGGAGTTCCCCCAGCAACCAGCTTCCCCACCCGGTGCGTCCTCCTCCAGCCAGGGGTCAGCAGAGAAGGAGTGTGGGGCGGCTGACATCCCTGCCTTAGGTTGGACCAGGAGGTGCTGGGCACTGGTTCCATGCTGTGCCTTTGCAGATCCTTTTCCCCTTAGGAGGTGGCACAACCCAGGCTAAGGTAGCCCCCCAAACCCTGTCCTCTGCCCCTCCCAGCTCCTCAGTTTCCAGGCTCAGCAGTGTCAGCTCTCCAGGCTTGGTGTGGACAGTGCCTCCCTCCAGGAATGCGTCCCCACTTCTTAAGGAAACTCCTTCACTTTTCTATTTGGCCCTAGAGACATTATCCAAGCCACCAGCTCTGTGAAGCCGCCCCTGATTTCTTTGGCCTGCACAGTGTACATTTTTGCTGTGGCTCCTTCAGTTGTGCTGACGCCATCTGGGAGGAGGGATGGTAGAGACTGTGGCATTGACTGGAGGTGACATGAGGGGTGAGAGACAGGTGCCATCACCAGCTTCTCCCTTCCCAGGGGCACAGTGTGACCAGCTGACACCCTTCCAAAGACCTAAACCTTAGATTTGAAACTGTCAAACTCCTGGAAGAAAACACAGGGAAAGCTGCTTGACATTGGTCTTGGCAATGATTTTCTGGATCTGAAACCAAAAGCACAGGCGAAGAAAGCAAAAATAGACACGCGAGACACTATCCAACCAGGAAGCTTCTGCACAGCCAAGGCAACAATCAACAAAATGAAAAGGCAGCCTGTGGGCTGGGAGAAAATGTTTGCAAACCCTATAGGTGATAAGGGGTTAACAGCCCAAATACAGAAGGCACTGCTGCAATCAATAGCCGAAAACAAAATGACCCAATTAAAACATGGCCCAAGGACTTGAGTAGACAAATGGTGGACAGGTCAAGGCGATGGTGCTCACTATTGCTGACCACCAGGGGGCAGCATCAAAACTGGAGGGAGTCCTTGCCTCACACCTGTTAGCGTGGCTTCTATCCAAAAAACAAGGTAGTGGGAATGTGGAGCAAGGGGAATCCTTGCACCCTGTTGGTGGGAATGTAAGTGGTGCAGCTGATACAGAAAGCAGTATAGAGGTTCCTCGGAAACTTGAAAATAGAACTCTCATCTGACCCAGCAATTCTACCCTGGGTGTACATCCAAAGAATCAAAATCGGAATTTGAAGATGAGATTTCACCCCATCACAGCTGCAGATTCTCACAGCCAGGATGTGGAAATGATCTGTGTCCACTGAGGGAAGGACAAAGAAGGAAAATGTGTCCGCCTGTTCCATGGACTGTTATCCAGCCTTGGAGAAGAGGGAGTCGGCCATCTTTAACAACCTGCTTGAATCTGGAAGACATCGCACTCAGAGAAATGAGCCAGTCACCAGGGACAAATATAGCCTGATTTCACAGGGAGAATCCAAAATTGTCAACCTCACAGATGCACCGAGTGGAAGGTAGTGGCTGGTGCTGCAGAAGGGCATAAAGCTGTGGCTCTGGAAGATAAATAAGTCCCGAGACCTGCGGTACAACGGGATACTTAATGCTGCACCATGTACTTGAACATTTAAGCTGATAGGGGTCCTGTTGAGTATTTTCCACAAAAGTCAAACCTCAAAAACTGCCACTGAACACCCAGTGAACCTGAGGACAGAGTAGGGGCCATCTGGGACCCTGGGCCTACTGGCTGGCTGTCCGCTGCTATGACCCCACCAGGGGGTTGGCACCCACCCTGACTCCAGCACTTCTTGGCTGAGGGAGTTCTTGTCCTGTCTGTGCCTCACTGTCCTCATGTGCAGATCAGAAACAAACTTCCTGTTGGGTAACAGTGACCCTGTTGAATCTCAGTTTTGTTCCATAATATCATTCCTTCTCAAAAGCACATTTCATTTTCTTGTTGAACCTCAAGTAGGTGGTTTTTGGTCCCAGTTTACAGATGGTGAAACTGAGGTTCAGGGAGGTGATGTGGCTGCCCAGCCTGTGTAAGTGAGGGTTTCTTCTGGAGTCTCCTCTCCTGTGCCCCAGCTTGACTGAAAGTGGTGGGAGGTGGGTGTGGCTTATTTAGAGGAGAGGGATTTGGGGCTTGCTGCCAAGCTGAATAGACGCTGCCAGCAAGTCTGGCTGACAGGAGGTGGTCCTGACCTGTCCCTGTGGGGGTCCTGGGGGTGAGAAGACAGAAGCTGCAGGGGCCTCACCATGGCAACCATGGCATTCTTACCTCCCATATACCATCCTTCTGAAGGGTGAAGTTGGCCCAAACCAAGGAATCTCAGAGGAAGGAGCCAGACCATGGCTAGTCAGATGGTATGGCCCTGGGTTGTAGGGCCTGGACCAGAGTTAGAAGGGGCCACATGTGATCTGATGGACCCAAGTCCTCTCCAGGACACACTGGAGCTCTCAGAAGGCCAGGGAAGGACCAAGCCCAGTGAGGTGACTTCCAAAGGGACTGCCACCCAGATCTGTAAGCTCTGTAGTATCGTGTGGGTATAGAGGGCTTCCTGGAGGAGTGGTGTGAGGAGCTCTCACTGTCATCCTCTGAGCCTGAGTGGGGGACCCTGGTTCCCTGAGCCCTGGGAATGTGGCTTGCCTAAAGTTTGGGGCAGGCTGGACGGGGCTGGATTGAGGCCTCATCTGTCCCATGAGCAGGCCCAGTACCATATGGTACATTGACCTGAGCTACAGGGAAGAAGAGAGAGGGCATGAGGCCAGGAATAGGTGGGCTATGGGGACAGGCTGGAAGTCTCTGAGGCCAGGTAAGGTTAGATGGTTCCTGAGTACGTCAGGTGAACAGACCTAAGGGGTGGTGGGTGCAGTGAGTAACCAAGGATGTGCAGCTGATGGGAAGAGAGGCCTGGAGCGGCTGCAGGAGGTGCACAAGGCTCCCATCGTATCTCACTCCCCAGACCCAGCCCACTTCCAGGCAGCGGTTCCTTTAAATACAAGGTTCTTTCCTCCCTGGAACCCCCTGCCCCAGTCTCCTGGGCAGCCAGGTAAACAGAAGCCAGACTACCCCAGTTACTGGCATGGCTCCCCCTTGCTCTGGGAACCTCAGCCCCGAAGGTTTGCCCCCTCCCCCTGTCACCACTCCAGGTGAGACACAGGGGCAGGGGTGGATGTGAGGGTGGGCAAGTGGCATCTGGGGTGAAGAATGTGACAGCATAAGACAATCGTACCACCTCTCCCAGTGGCAGGGATGGGGGCTTTGCATGTCACACAGCAGGACAGTAGCAGCAGGACCAGCCAGGGTGGGGACATCAACTACCCCTAGGATCCTATTCCTTCCTGGTCTCCCCCTCGAGGCCATGGCATGCTCTCTCTCTCTTCCACCATTCCCTTCAACATAAAAGCCCGCCATTCCCCGTCTTTCTAGATAAGCTGGGTTCTCCTTGATCCTGCCCCTGAAGTCTCCTGTCTCCAAACACTCTGGACCTCAGGGCCTTGGTCATCCTGTGAAGGGGTAGCCATCCACCCACATTGCAGCCACTGCCACCCCTGCTCACTGACCCTTTCTCCATCTCCTCTGTCAGCAGGCTGCGGATCTCTTCCCTTGCCTCAGCTCAAGCCCCTGGACATGTTTCCTTTGAGGATCCTATTCCTCCACCCAGGGAGGATCCTATTCCTCCCTGGTCACTGTCACCTCTGTGCTCAGCACTCCTCGGGGGGCCTAATCTCTCACCCAGGCCTGCTGCATACACCTCTCTCCAGGTTCCTTACCTGCCTGGCAAATCTCCAGTGCCTGCCCACCCTTCCTGTGCCCACACAGCTGGCGGAGTGGGGTCTGCACCTTTCCATCCTGACTGCTAGCCTGTAGGGCGCCTCTGCCAGCCCCCAACCTGTCCTAGTCTTCCCTCTCCTAGCAACAGCGCGGCACCTTCTCAGTGCAGCTGTGCCTGGATCCCCCAGAGAAACTAAAGCCTTTGGAGGGGGAGGAGCACTACTCAGGCGCTCGCCCACCGCACAGGCCTGCTCTTCTCCAAGGCCAGTCCTCCCGCATCCTGCTCCCGCTCTCCTTTCCTCCTGCTCAGGCCTCCTCCAGCAACCGTCCCCCTGTAGGCCATGGCATGCTCTCTCTCTCTTCCGCCATTCCCTTCAACATAAAAGCCCGCCGTTCCCCGTCTTCTCTTGACCCTTCTTCCCACTCAGTGGCTGCCCTCTTTCCCTGCTCCCCATTTATAGAAGAACTCCTCCAAAAGGTTATTTATCCTTGCTGCCTCCAAATCATTCCCTCCCATTTGCTCTTGAACCCACTCTAATCAGGCTTAATTTCCAGCATTTTCCTAAAGTGGCTCTGGTCAAGGTGACCAATGACCTCCCTTGCTGCTAAGCCTGAGGTCAGTTCTCAGGCCTCGTTTGACGTCACCCACATCCGCAGCACATGACTCAGGCCCCCGCAGGCTTCTAGAGGCCCCCACACTGCCTAGACGCCGCCTCTTCCCTAGTTCTCTTGCTGGCTGTCATGTCCCTGACCTGGTAAGGACAGAGGGCCCCGGGCTCTGTTCCTGGGATGAATCTCTAGCTTACTTCCTGGGTGATTTCAGCCAGATTTAAGGCTCTATATGCCATCTACCGTCTTCTGCCTGGAGATCCGCAGGTCCTTTGTACCCCTTCCTTGCCTGTCTAATGGCATTGACATGTCCAAAATTAAACTCAAGACCCCCCAGCCCCATCTGCTCTTTTCTCAACCATCTCTCTCTCAGGAAATAGCATCTCCTTCCTTGCAATTGCTCAAGCTAACATACTCAGTGTCTTCCCTCTTTCCTTGTCCTCCCCCATCTGCATATCAGCAAATCCAGCTGGTTTAATTCAAGAAATCTAAGCACTGCTCACACTGTTCCAGCCCCACCCTCTCATTTGTACCACTGTTCTCTTATCTCACTGGCCTCTTTTTGCTGGCCTTGCCCCCTCCACCTCACTGCAAGATAGTCACCACTCACCCAGGGGCAGACAAGCAGGACCATCACTTCTTTCATGCCAAGAGCTATGATGCGGTGAGGCAGTACAGTGGCCCTCTCCCTTCCTTGGGGCCCCATCCTCAACTTCCCTCTTCTCCAAAACTTCACTGTCCCATAGCCAAGAGCTACACCCTAGGCCCTCTCCTAACTGCCTGTCCCAAGAGCTAGTACTGTGTGGCAGGCCAGGCCAGGCCAGAGGCTTAGGCTGCAAAGTAGTCCTGAGCCTCCAGGCAATCACCAGCCAATCTCCAGCCTGTCCTGCAGGGAGGAGGTGGTTAGTGGACAGAACAAGCTTCAGGTGTTAGCACCACCCTTGCCCCACAGCACTGCTGGAGACTCCCAGCAGCACGAGTGCTGTCCATGGTTCTGAGACCACCAGGGGCTGAGCCACATGCTTGGGTGGGACTAGGCTCAGTTTTTAGCATTTTCTAGAAGGGGAAACAAGCTAGCACTAGGTAAAGGCCTAGTTCAGGCTCCAAGAGAAGAACCCCCACCCACCTCCACCCCAGGAGTGCTGACTCTACTGGAGAGCACAAAGATTTGAGTCTTGTTGTTACTTCTGGTTGCAGCCAGTGCCTAGGACAGCGGTTCAAGGAGCACGTGAGTGTGGGGGAGGATCTCTGGAGTAGGTCGTGACCTGCAAGGAGTGATGGCCAGCCCAGGGCTTTAGTGCAGCCACTTTGGACGGCTTCTCCAGACCTTGCACCTCACCAGTCAGAAGGCTGCATAGTGGTACCGCTGGTGGGGCTCCGGCCAAAGGACCCCAGCCTGGTACAGTTCCTTGCTTCCACCTCCTGGGCCTCCCAGCCCTGCCCATTCCCAGGGAGCTGTCTGGTCTTTGTCCGGTGTCCACCTTGGTGCTGTCTGTGTCCCTCCCTGGAGCTTGTGTAGGAGGAGGGCCTAGAGTTGCCTCGCCTACTTCAGTCAGTGTTCCCAGAACTAAACACATCTGGTGAGAGGAGGTGCAGAAGGTAGCACAGGCGGGGTGTACACCAAGAGCTGTGACCAGGTTGCCTTTGTGGGTCATGGATGAGCTCCCAGGATATGATCTCCAAGCCAGGACAAGTGCTGTGGGCATGTGACTCTGAGAGTGGGTCTTGGGGTTTACTAGACCCATGTGTGACTCTCAGAAAAGCCAGAGAGATCTAGAGCCTGCTTCTGGGACAGCACACATGCAGTTCCCAGGATGACTTCTTACCCTCTTGTAGCTGCTCTCCTGGCAGGGTCAGCTATTCAGGCTGGGAGCTGGGCAGTTGCCCCAGGCTCTTCCTGCCTCTGTTAAGGAGGCTGGACCATGTGGGCCCTGCCTCTTTCAGGCTGAGTGGTCCCTCCTCACCCTCACTCTACCCAGCGGGTGGCGGGGTGGGGGTGTTGCACAATCCATGCCCTGTATTCACAGGGCCAGGACAAACTTTTAATTGAGTGACTTTTTCGCCTCCTGTCCCAAATGCCCCTGTCATAGGATGGACCTCAGCATCCTGTACTTGCTCGGGAGTCCCTGCACTGCCATGGTCCTCCCTACCTGGAACTTTCTGCCTATATAGTAGTGACACACCTTCTCTGGGTGCTCGAATCAGCCCTGTGATTTGTGGGTACTGTCCTCTCAGAAATGGCTTTGATTAAGCCTTGGCCCTAACGCTGGTGGGAAGGCAGCTGTGCGCACTGCCTTCCTATCTGGTGGGGGCTCCTTCACATTTCCCCACCTCTGCGTCCTGCCTCGACTGTGGCAGTCACTGCCCTGCCTCACCGTCCCCTCTCCCATCAGCCGCAGGTCCTGCCGTGCTCCAGGAGCCCTGCTTCCCAGACATCTACGGCGGGGACAAGCAGCTCTGGGAGGCGCACTTCCGTGGCATCAGGAGCGCCTACCGCGTGCTGGGCAAGGAGGACGACTTTGCCATCCGCGTGCTGACCGAGGACTTCACGCTGCCTTTCCCGTTCGCCTGGCCTTCTGAGCCCGACCCTGCCGGCGGGCAGCTCTTCTACGACCCGCAAGACCGCCAGGGCTTCGACTTCCTGCTGCGCGGCCCCGGCGCCCAGCCACCCGCGCTACTGCAGCCCCTGCACGCTACAGCGCAGGCGGCCTCGCGCAAGAGGCACCTGGAGCAGCTGGCACGCAGCTACGCGCGCGCAGGCGCCGGCCAATCTGGCCTGGTGCTGCTGCCGCCGCCCGGCCCCGCTGCAGCCTTCTCTGGCCCCAGGCCAGCTGCCCCGGCCCGCGAGAGTGAATAAAGGCTCCATTTCTCTAGCTCCAAGCTGCCTGCCCTGCTATGCACAGCCGGACAGGTGGACCCAGGGGACAGGAGGTTGGGGTGGAACAGGGAGGTGGGCTGCGGCCCCAGCTGGATACCAGGCCAGGCCTGGTCAGCTATTGGATGGAATACCCACGTGTCTCAAATGTATAGTGGGTGACTGCCTAGAATGATAAGGGTGGTGGAGACAGGCTGACCTCTGGAGAGCAGAGCAGCAGTCAGAAGAGGACTGGTGTGGTGGGCAGGGTTGGGCTCTTCACCCTGGGCTCACCCTCTGAGATCTTGCCCTGGACTGTGGTGGGCATGAGCAGGGTGAGGGGTATCACACAGAGGAGAGCACTGAGACCTCTCCTCTATGGAGCAGTGGGGTCTGGTTTTACCCCCAACTAAGTTTTGCTTTTCCAGTTTCCATGGCAACAGCATGGGGCTGAGGAACAGAGGAAAAAGAGCAGAAAGAATGGGGAGGGGTCTCTCTGGCTCAGTATCAGGCCTGCACACTCCCACCTGCTGGGGAGAGAGATGCCCCTGCTTGTTATCCTCCGTGCTGAGAGAAATTGCAGAGCCTGGGGTTGCACAGGTGACCGGCTCCACCATGGGTGCGTCTCTCTCTCCAGGTGACAAACCCCAGTCACGGGCGCAGTGACCTTGGTGGCTTCCTCCTTCCACATGCAGGGAGGCCAAGAGGCCGAAAGCTGAGGTGTCTGTCCTAAGGCACAGACCTCCTCCTGCACTGGAAAGTGAGTGTTTTTTCTTTTTCTAATTCAGGAGTTATTTATTCACAGCTTTTCATTGGTGGTGAGAAAAGACTTTCCAAACCACTGATTGGTTTTGCTGGAAAACTAGCTGGAGAGGGAGTATCTGTCTCTGGAGGAAGAGAAGGGCAGGGCTGAGGCTTCCTTCTTCCTTCTCCTCTGTGGTTGCTTAGCCCAGCCTAGACCTCCAGTCCCTGCTCTAACCTTTTTCCGACCATGAAATTGTCTCTGTAGTCTAATAAGGTGCCCACATAGTTATCCTGTAATAACATTCCCACACTTGATTCCTGATGGGACATTATGTATTATATTTTATGTCCTATATTGCAGGGATCCCCAAACCGTAGGCAACACAGCAGAAGGTGACTGGATGAAGCTTCCTTTGTATTTACAGCCAATCGCCATTGCTCTAATCACAGCCCAAGTTCTGCCTCCTGTTAGCTCTGTGGTGGCCTTAGATTCTCATAGGAGCACGGATCCTACTGTGAACTATACATGCAAGGGATCTAGATTATATGCTCCTTTAAATCATCCTGATACCATCAGCCACCAACCCTGTCTACGGAAAAGTTGTCTCCCACAAAACAGGTCCCTGGTGCTGGTTGGGGATCACTGTTATATTACACATGAATTGTTTGGGTTTCCTGGAAACATTCCCTAAACATGGATTTGAGTGTAAGGGACTGATTTGCTGGGCTGCTGGTGGTGGTGGTGTCATCCTTTGAAACGTAGATATGGCACTAAGAAGCAACAGGCAGGAAAGAAAGCCAGCAGTGGGGGGATATATGGCAGGTTGTCCCAAAGGTCACCAGGAAGTCAGTAGTCCCCTTGGACCTCTGGAAGCAGAACACCCCCACCCCAGGAACAGGAAGGTGCCTCAGAGGCCTCCCTCACACCCCAGGAGCAGGAAGTCAAGTATTTAATCACTAACTCCCTGTCGTCACAGCAAGGGCCTTCCAGGGACAGCACCCCTTGGCAGGTCAGCCTGCCCTGTGGGCATGAGCATACACCTCCCCTACAAACAGCCTTAGTGAGAGGAGCCATTTAGAAAACTATAACACTATGATAGAGTAATTTTATGACTGTAGAGTATAATGACAAAAATTTGGGGTTTGTGTTTTTTATTTATTTTTCACTTCATTTTCCTAGAAACGTATTGTCATAGTAGTTCACAACAGTATGAGTCTGTGACAGATAAGAAACCACTAATTTGAGAAGCACTGGTCTGAGGCACCAAGACCCCAAGCAAGTCCTCAAATAGGAAAAAGGACTTAAGAAAATACAACCTGTGCTATGAAGAAAATGAGTAGGCGGTGACCCTGTTTGAACAGCGGATCAGAAATGGCCTCTCAGAAGAGGCAGTGTAGAAGTTAAGAATGGACAGAGAGGTGTCAGTTGTGTGGGTATGGGAGGAAGGTACTCTAGGCAGAGGGGATAGCACAGGCAAAGGCTGAGCAATTGAAAGGACCCTAACAAAGGGTCTGAGAAGCCAGAGCAGAATGAGAGAAGTCAGAAGTTCCACTGGCTTAAACCACAGAAGAGCCCAGATGGCTTACATAATGGAATATAAAAAAAATAAAATGAGCTTCAGGGAAGGTTTGATCCAGAGGTTCACAATTATCCTGGAGGCTCTGCCTTCCATCATGCGGCTTCTACCCTCACACTGGCTTCCCCAGCAGTGGCAATGTGGCTGTGTTAACTTTCCATCACTGTGGATATCCAACAACAATAATTTAAAGGAGGAAAGGTTTATTTAGCTCATGGTTTCAGAAGCTGCAGTTCATGGTGGGTTGGCTCCAAGGCAGGACATCATGGTGGAAGGGCTCAGTGGAGTATAGCTGCTTACATCGTGGTGGCCAGGAAGCAAAGAAAGAGGGAAAGAGCCAGTGAGGAAGGGATTGGGACCAGATAAAGGCCCCAAGGCCAAGTACCTGTGGTTTCCCTTTACCTAGGCCACTGTCCTATTAGCATCACCTCCCAACGATTCCATCACATTATGATCTCATCAGCCTCATGATTCCGTCTTTCCCAAAGCCTGTCAGCATCTAGGCCTTTAACAGATGCGTTTTGAAGGTCATTTCAAATCTAAACCATAATAATAGCTGATGCATTGCCTACCTTTACAGTTTCTCCCAGCTTTGAGAACAGAGGCCACTGGCTTCCAAGAGCGGTCTCAGAATAAGCAGCCATGTGGGTCGTGTGCCCATTCTTGACCAGTCCTTGCAGCTCAGGTAGCACCAGACATTGACTGGTGTAATCTTGTGGCACTGATCCAATCCTTTTGGTAGGAGGGTATGATGACTGGGACTGGATTCTGACAACAAGGCACAGAACACTTTGATGCCCACAGTTGGGGAGGGAAGTGCTAGCCTTTGCCCCTGGCTCTAAGGCTCACTTCTCTGCATCTCATGCCTTCCCGTCTAGTTGGACTTACTGTCTCAGAGAGCCATATGGTTTGAAGTGGTCACAGGGTTGGGTCTCTGCCTTTTGTGTAAAGCACAGTTCGTCTGTTCTGCAGAGGAAGACATCTCTTCTCTCAAGGAGCTCTTTGAGGATGGGGGGAGGTATCAATACCATGCTCATTGCTCCAGGGACAAAACCCAGGCAATCCCTGCTGGTCCCCAGTTCCTTCTGTTCCCCCTCATTGCACAGGGAGAACCAGATGGCCCTCACATTACCCTTTCTGCCATAGCTGGTAGGTGCTCAAATTTTCCCCAGGCACCATCTTCTGGGATACTTCTCCCCTCCTCTCTGGCATTGTTGCTTCTTCCTGCTGCCTGGCTTTTAAGGCTCATGCTGCTTGGGCTGTAAGAATGGTTCCAAACATTTTTGGAAACTGGAGGAAATCTTCTTCCTCATAAAGTCATAGATCCTACTGACACCTTCCTACTGACTTGCTAGAGGACTCTGCCCAGGAGTCTGTGCTGAATGTTGTGGGCATGAGCAAATGCCCCGGCCCAGGTTTTCAGGTGCTGGGCTTGTGTACGGGTCCCCTGCCATGGACTCTGCAGCCCTCAGCCATCACTGTTGCTTTTGGGGGTTCAGGATCCTCAGCTGAAAACAACGATGTGTGAGGTACTGCTGGTCAGGCCTCTGGGCCCTGCTTAGCATGGGGATAGCCTTACGAGAGAGGGCAGCTGTTTCCACACCTGTCCACTCTTTGTCTCCCATACTCAGGCTGGCCCAGCTGCCTTCCTGAGCTAAGAAGGCCATCAGCTTTTCCTTGGTGCCAGACTGCCTCAGCTGAGACAGAAGTCTCAGGAGTCAGAAGCACATTGGCTCCTTCCCGTAGCACTTTTGTGTCCTTGAACATGCTCTTGGTCTTTCTGTGGTGTGATCTGCACACCTGGAAGGTCTCAAGCTGGGAGGCCTGCTTGGACTGGGTTTTGTAAGCAGTGTCCTCTGTCTTTGCTGGGGGTTGGCCACCTTTCCTCTGCCCAGTGGTGCAGGAGCCTGGGAGTCCTGGGTGGGGTACCTGTCTTGTCATTGCCACTGTGGTATGCATACAGCAGGTGCTCAATAAATGTTTCCTGAATATGCCAGATAAACAGAGGGTCTGGGCATCCAGAGGTGTACATCGATTCTGGGCAGAAGAAGGGCTGGGAGGGGCAGGAGTCTGGGGAAGGCAGAATCCCGAGTTGGGGTTTCTCATGCCCTTGGTGTCCAGAGGGGGCAGGTGCCCCCTTTGGTTTCTGGGATGCCGGGCACGGGGATTGGGGTAACCCCACCTTTAGTTTCCTTGGGAACAGACTCTGAGGAGCAACGGGGATGTTTAATTAATTGCAATTACAATCTTCAAAGGAAGCATGGAGTTGAAAGTTGTTCCTAATTACTGTGTTATGATGTCAGCTGGCTCCCCAAATTGATTGTGTTAGACTTTCCGATGCAGGATTAATTGAGTTGCAGTGAGGACCCACTTACATCCCTCCCCTTCAGATACAGTCGTGTTCGGCCTTGGCAAAGGCGAGCTGGCTGGAACGGGAGGGTGAGGGTGGGGTAGAGGGGGCACCACTGCCTAGATGGAGACCTCACTGCCAAGGTTGAGGCTGAGGGTGTTGGGTCTGGGGGCCAGATGGGCACCATGGAGTCAACACTGCAGTTCACCGAATGTCCTGCTCTGGCCTCTGGTACTTCTTGGGTGGCGGTGCTCCCCTGTTTCCTGTGGTTGAGTGGGATCAATAGGTGACCACTGCTCTCTAGTGAGACATGGGTGTGATGACACTGTCATTTCTGAGCCAGAGCAT